GTGCTTAGCAACACATTTGACATCCGTAAGTAATATTTCTTACGCTGAATCGAACGGTTGTATTTTTATCCTTATTGCGGCATTACAAACACAAGGACAAACCTGTGGACAAACGTAGTGCGAGTGATTTGTGCTCAAGAATTCGTACTGCGAACGATTTGTGAACAATACAATTTCGCTTCATTTTCAAAGGCCATAAATCGCTAGAATACTGGTGTTTAGTAATACACTTGTAAGTACAATTAATTTCTTACGCTGAATCGAACGGTGTCGCTTTCTTCTCAAAATATAAAAGCAGCGCAGCCAAATTAATATAACAGTCGAAGGTTGCTGTTTCCATGTCGAAATTCCTTGTAAAATTGTTCAATTTTCCAGAATTTTCCTCAAAACGCAGGGTTATTTATGGATAATTTGGGTAAAAATTGGCAGAAGCCGCAGGAGCTTTATGGATAATTTGGGTAAGAATTAGGGAGCTCATTAATATTCTATTTTGTGGCTATCGATCTTCGATCTTCGATCCACTATCCGAGAAAAATCCGAACCGAAACCTATACTCGCCCGGGGCACAGGTGCCCCAGCGAGTAAATAGCTGTATCGTTGCTCAAGTTTATAACATCGATACGATAATCGCGATTGAAAATATCGCGATAAATCGAAATATCGCCCAACCCTACGTAGAAATCAACATATTTCGGCGGTTTTCATTCAGATTTCTTTTGGATGTTACGAAAAACATGTAGATTATCCAAAAATAAAAAACGTCGACTATATTTCAAGAAAAAAATCTGGCAACAAAAATCCCTTCGCTCACTCATTAGGAAAATATATGGCAGCCAGGTTGGCCGCGCGCTCGTCCCAATGTTTTTGCACTGCCTGCAATATGGCGGAAACCACCTTGAAGGGGCCTATTGTTATCATTTACACAGAATTATGTTCATCGGCAATGTGCATGTATATGAATGTAGGGGGGTCACGATCAAGTATCTTTGCTGCATCTATAAAATTGATCTCTGAATAGCATTCAAATATAAGTCATAAAAGTCTGAATGAGTTCATGAATATCTATGTTCCTAAGAGTTTTTTCAAACATTCTATACTAGAATGAAAAATACAAGACAACATAATCTTGGGGGTGGGGATTTCCTTCTAATAAATGGTTTGACACATATTAATACATAGCACCATTGTATTATCGTATTACAACTGCATGAGAGTTGACAATAGGCATATAATAAAAATAAAGCTGAATTTTCATTAGTGCATAAAAGCCGCGAGGACTGACCATAGATATCTTATATACACTAGATAGTGCATCTAATTATTCTGCAATTCAAAAATTGAAGCCGTGATTGCAGACTCAGGATATTCCCATGAAATGAGAAGATTCGTATGTTTTCTATTTCTTAAACAGGGAACTTAAACATTAAGTTAAACTTATTTCAAATACATTTTCAAACTGTTCAAATGATGAAAGTTGTTGTTTTTTAAGCGTTTATTAGCGAGTGGGAAACTCCAACATGGCCGCCATCTATTCAAACGGGGGTAACCGCTGGAATATTCTTGGCTTCAATTTTACATAAAGAGATGCCCTATCTAGTGTATATAAGATATCTATGGGACTGGCATTTAACGAAAACTTGCATGGCTGTACCTAAGAAGTACCTAAACGGGGCCTGAAATGGTGCGTTATACTCTAGAGTAGGTATTTATCAAAAGGCGCGAGTCCTATAATATATTGGACCAATGACCACTATATGCGTGCTCATAGTTAACGGTCGTTGTCAATGAAGTTGGTCAATCCAAACGTTTACACTAGTGTTTACACTACTAGAGACACTGGACCGAGGATCGACCTAAACCAGTTAGGGCCTGTTCATATGAGCCCATCAGCTAACCGGGAAACTCACCTGAGTGATAAAAAGATAAAAACAGTCATATAAACACAGAAATTCATCCTACTCAGGTGAATTTCCCGGCCAACTGAGCTATAGGACCGACCTAAAAGCTACATTCAAAGCCAAACATTTGAGGTGTCCTGAAACGCAGGTCTTCGGTCAGTTTCAGGACACACTTTAAATGTATACGTTTCATGACAAAATAGTAAAATTTCGCGTCTGATATTAGTATTCAGAAGAATTTTCATTTTTATTTTCTTTTGCATTCACGGAATGGTCCAATTGTAGGTATTTAGCAAGGTACCTTGTGTAAATGCACCAGACCCTTATTAGGTACTTCGCAGGTACAGGTAGGTCTCTTGTAAATGTCAGTCTTTAGCGCGGGAAGAGCGCAGTAGCTGAACACCTGCTGTAGCTGAACACCTGCTGTTGCTGTCCATCTTAAACGTTTTCAATCAGGAATAGGTCTTTAGTGCAAACGTGGCTTAAATTGTGAGTATATAAGCATTAAAATTTGGCCACAGGAAATTAATAAGTATTTAGTTAGATTGAGTATTATGTGAATGATTTACGTCACCGTATCGTTTCCTGCATGTCACCCATCCTATCACCTGGCGTGACTAATATCATATCAACACATATTTTTACATACATACACTGGATCCAGAAAGGTTTGACCCTGAAGACTTTTAATCACTGACCTATACTATCTGGAAGAGGTCAAAATAAGTCGTCACTGATGCTGACGTTGTATAGATTATTTTGCCTTTTATAATCTATTTCATCGATCAATTCTTAAGGGATAGAGGGCTGCAACATTTGCGTAGTCTCTCATTAAGTACGCTCTGGCCTTTCTCTCTTCGAAACTGGCAACACCCACCTACTGCAACCTTTACTAACATCAACACTAACAACTACAACTGTTCTGTAAATACAAGAAAACAATAACAACATAAACACCTACAGTACTGTACTGTACAGTAGACGCAGATACATGTACGCTTAGCGTACCTATTTTTAAACGTGACGACAATTGACAGGACCTGCAACTTTTCCTCCATGCAATCAGTCCAGGTTAAGAATAGGTCAGTGGTTGCAATATACAGGAGAAAACATTGGATGCTAGCCTGCCCCACTGACCGGAAAATTTGAAACGGAAAATTTCCGATTTTCCTTTGAACGAAATTTCGGGCTGCGAGAAGGCTACTTGGATACTTGGTAGGGCCAAACTGAAACACTGCGGCAATATCAGGCATTAGCATATACACGAGAGGTGGATAGTGCTTTACGCGCAATTTAATTGGTCGCTCAGCTCTGGATATCCTTGCACTATTCACCTCCGGACCAAAACAAAATGTCTTCCTGTTTTGTGCTGGTTATACAGACGAGAAAATCTTTTTACTAAACGGAGTTGCCGATCCGCCAAACACAAAGAAAACTAGAAAGTTTTGTTTCATAAATCTTTCTAATTAATCAAATTACTAAAAGTTTACATAATACTGCTTTGTTTACAACTATTACGGGAGCTGTAATACAAATTGTTTTAAAAATTTATTTTTTTTTGGTCATTTTTGTTTTGTTATGGTCATTTTTGTTTCGCTATGGTATATGCTAAAACAATTATTCACCTCAGTGTCGGTGAATAGCGCAAGGTTATATCCTTGCGCTATTCACCTCCACTTCGCTGAATAATTGTTAAATATTATACTATACATGCTGATGCAGTGGAGCTTTTACTACCATGGCACACAAATACTTGGTTGATGAGGTTGTAGCAAAACAACTATATTGTGTGCGCCATCTAAAGGGGTAATTATCGTTTCGACTTAACAAATATTTATACTCCGAACAAAAGGATGTTAAAATAAAAGGATGAAATAGATTTCATCCCATTTGTTAATTCCAAATGGTGTTCAAAGCCTTTAACTGTCACACACAATATAGCTTGACAAAAATTGCAGTGTCTTGAATAAATTAATTTATAATCAGACAGGAAACTTCTGCATTTTAATTTTCCTTACAAAAATATTGTAGCTACATTGTTAAAGTATAATTTAAAAAATTTATGTTTTGTTCTTTTACTTTGTGTTATACATTAAATTACTATTATTTAAATTACTGCCTGGTTTTAATTTTTCAACGTCAAATAAATTAAGGTTATTTATTTCATTTAATAGTCCTGTTTTAAAGTGTTTTAAAATTTTAGTTTAATTTAAACGTTTAGTGAGGTTTAATGGATGAATTTTCATTTAATATTTAAAAGATGTGGAATTCGCATTACATGATCCTATGGTTTGACATTGAAATCTCAAATCTCAACCTAAACTAATTACCCATGCGAGCATCTCAATCACATCTCAATGTAAACACGAATCATCTTCATTTGCATAATTGTGAAAGAATCGTACTACGGTCTTTCAAATGATAGATATTTAACAATCTAACATATCTCAGCATGCTATATCACTTCAAAGCTTATAAGATGCTGAAAACGAATACATGGCTAAATCTTAATTAAAGCTATTCTGTAGAAATAGCTCCACCATTTCTTCTGGTTATGCATGTAATGACAGGAAACGTTTTGTCTACACTGATATTAGTCCATGAAAGCTGGTCAGTAACTTTTGTTCAATGTTTGAACAATAATCTGGACTGTTTTCAGGAAATTTGAACAAAAACAATAATTTTAATCTATAAAATATACGCATGTTTGCCAATGTTGTTAAGATAAGATTTCTGTACATACATTCAATTTTCCTATAAGAGTCAGACATTGTACAAAAGAAAAACTAAAGTAGGATCAATAGATTTAGACAATCATCATTGACTAAAGAATCGGCCGAAATTCATTCCCACTGTCAGGATATTTTCTATCCAATCTGTAACATTTCGTAATAATTATATTTGTTCCTGTCAGCATCTTAAAAGCTTTAAAATAATGTAGAGCATGTTGGCACATGTTGGATTGTCAAACTTTATCATCTATAAAGTGCGCTTCTTCCACAACATTATACAACATCCAATTAATGTATCAAAATATATGTATAAAAGGTTGACTAAAACTTGTGAATGTTGAAATATCTCAACTCGTAATGCAGCATATACTGTCTTCCTTGTGTTTCGCAGTTTTGCGAGTTTTTACACTGGACGAATTCAATTTTTCAGTATGTTTTCGTTTACGAGCACCGCTACCGCTTAAATCGAGGCTGTTCGGTTTTGATAGTTTGGGACTTTGCACGAAAGTGTCGTGGGATGATAGACTGCTGGGGCTGCTTGGCTCCGACATCGCACGCTGTGGCAAAACTCTATCATTGGCGAACACATCATCACTAGAGTATGGCGGGGTTCGACCATCGCTCGTTTTTCCGTCCTGGTGTTGGTCTGATTCCGAGACGGAGTGAACCCGTTTCTCCAAGTTTTCCAAAGCGTCTTGTAGGTCATCAGTAAGTTGCTTAAGTTCCTGGTTCTCTTGTTCAAGTTGCAATGTCGTAAATCTTTGTTGTAGGTCGTTCGCCTCGATTTGGCTTAATTCCGACTCTGGAAGACTCAGGGTTCGTTTCAATTTCACAGGTTTAGGTTTCTGTATGGCATCATGTGGTCGATTTGTTTCTGAAGGGTTTGCGGAATCGAAGACGTCATCGCCCTTGTACGTTTCCCTGGCAACGAAGGGTGACGAGGGCGGGCTGCTAATTGGTGAACTACCTTTACTGTCAAATGGTGTAGTGGGTCTACTACTATAAGGTGTGGTTGCACGGCTGCTAACACATGTGCTGGGGTCTCCTGTTTCAGATTTCATATCCCACGATTCATAGTCACTTAACCACACAGTCGAATAAAATTTATCACTATTAACAGGCTTTCGAGTTTTTTTTGTTGGAATTCTCTTAGAAACGGACTTTGAATTTTTCATTTTCTTTCTTTTCTTTGCTGGAAAAGAAGGGTAGGACCTAATGTACTAAGCATTAATTTTAAAAAATGTCAAAATTTTGCCGTAATTTATAAAAAATTTAGTTATTAATGTTATACTATGTATTATATATTAAAGTTTAATCACTTATTTGAAAGATAGTTTCATTATAGCTTTCAATTGTTATTTAAATGAGTAGTTAAATTTTAGCAGTATTGAATTAAATTTAAGGATATAATATTTTTAGCTGCTTGCAATTAAAATATCTAGCAACAGTCAATTTTAATCCAAGACACCTTTACGTGTGTGACAGGTGTAAGACTTTGAACACCACGGCTGGCCTGGCTCAATTAACCCAATTCACCTACCTTATATGAGAATTCTTAAGAAAATTCTTTAATTTTAATAAAGCACACGTTAACATATCAGTATTTTACTACTATTGTTCCCAGAAAACTGCGAAACGACCGTTTTTTAGGCGGTTGGTCAGTGACAATTTTGTCAATTACGAGGGACATATTTGCGTACCTCGTGATCACAGTTCGTTGCAAGCGACGTGTGAAAAACTGCAAGTTTCAGTTTGACAGTTCTGGCAGTTACCTAGGTTTCTAATTTTATTATTATTTTATTATGCAGTATATTACGGCAATAGCAAACCACAAACACATGCAGTAAAACAAAATGTAACTTAGATAAACAAACGTTCAATTGCCTCATAACTGGAAATCATTTTTGTATTTTTTACAGTACATACGATACGCTCTTTATTTATTAAATAATTTGTGAACGAAATAGAAATATAGCCATTGTGGTGAAGCAACTTTTTGCAAGATTTATTTTTCATCACAATGCACAGATTATGCCCTTGTTAACCTATATATAAACAGTAGGCTATGTCGATAAAATTCACGGCCATTGCATGATCACTATATATATTTGCTATTTCCTTTAGACAGTTTTACTTGTTTCTTCTTGTTTCGGATCTATATATTCATTCACTTAATAGAGGCTAGCTTAAAAATTAAAATTAATTGAACCGATATAGGCTAAAAGGAAAAACACTTGTTCTCGAAGTACTAAAGAAAATCACACTTGTGTTTAGCGTAATATTCATATTAATTATATCATATTTCACCAAATACGCGTGCGATTGTTCAGTATAATTGTTATTTCTATAATAGTACTGAATAATGATTAATGGGACGATGCGAATGGTCTAACCGCGTGTGCCTGACGTGCATTTTTTTGTTACTTAATTTAAACGTTTTCCAACTATTCGTATACCACTCCTATAACTTGGCATGAAATCTGCATTTGTTGTATTGTCCCTAAGGTAAGATCATGAATGAGAATACAGATGAAATAAAATATTCTGAAAACCAAAAAGCTATACGCAGCAATGGATTGAAATGAACAAATTGCAAGATACTATAAAAAATATAACATATATAGTTCCTGCTCGGCATTTTCCATGTCTTCAAATTTTAAGCTTACACTTTATTCTAGCTATCAGTCCATGAATTAAATAATCGACTTACCAGAATCAGAATTTTCACGCTGAAACACAGCCGCAGGATATCTAAAAGGTATCATTATATAATATATATTACATGCATACAGGATCAATAACACAATGGATTTTAGAATGCAATAACACAATACTATTTTTTATTGAAAAAGCCTTTATTCGATATATATATAGGTCCTTTATTCCAATTTAAGATTTCTCACTCAATATAACGATATGAATATAAATATATATAGTGGCTTTAAAGTGGTTTTCGAAACCTAACCGACGTTTCAAAGTGTATAATACAAAAGTGTTGACACACCATTTTTGGTGATACGTTAGCCTCGGCAATTTGAGGCATTCGGTTGCAAATATCAAGTAACAAAATCCCTTCTATATCAGCGGGAAAGTGCAAAACTCGCAACGAACAACTCCTTGTACATGGCCGCGATATTCTTAAGATGAAAAAGTGTGACTTTTCCTATAGAGTGCACGAAATTTGCTAATACAAATGCGATACTCCAACGGTATATCCATGCAAGTATTTTTGCATTACTCTCAAAACAAGTTACATATATTGGACCAAATAGTATTTGGATTGTTTTGTCGAAGTTGAAATACTCATTCACTGCTAAATTAAGCTGCAAACTCTACAACTATATAACAACAACAAATCCGCTCAGTTTTTTAAATGTACAGTCATTAAAGTATAAGCGCTGTCGTATATATTAAAAATTCTGATTTAACCTAGTAAGTTGATAAATAAATAATGATATTTTTTCAATTACATGCGCAGTATGAAAGGTAATCGAATCAAAGAGTTTCATAAGGATTTAAGAGATGGGTATGTTCTAATAGTCATAGTGAAGGTATACTGGATACGAATCTTTCTCTTTCGTAAAATGAAAACTAGAGGCTGAATTGAAGGTTGGTGCTTTCCCATGCATGCGAGACTGCGAGTATTCCATATGTGAAGAAACTTTAAGGTTAAATTAGTGCATAATAAAGCTTTTTATATAGTGAAATTTATATAATGACAGCCAGTGTTTTTTATTAAATACCATTACGTCATTTTGATTTTATCTACACGTAGCTTATTTTCAACATAGCTAAATAGTGTACAACAAAGATTGGAGTCTATAAATAATGCCCACGTATTTCATTGTATATTCTTGTTTTAACATAGTTTTAACATCATTTACAACTCTGCATGTAGGTGCATGTTATAAAGCAAATTTTAATCATCCACATATAGATGAAGAAAGAGTAGGAAGAGTAGTGATCCAGGAAGAGTAATGGGCAAAGGCCTGAACCTTCAGGTACTCCACGTGAGATAGATGGTTCATCAAATGTCTTATCTGCACAAACAAACTGTCTTTTGTTTGAAAGACAGAATGCGAACCACTCTTGTGCGCAAGTCCCAGAACTCCATAAACTTTTATTTCTTAATCAAAATGTCATGACTGCAGGCCAACAAAATCCTTACTTAAATCTAAGAATACACCGCAAGCATAATCACGATCATCTATTGCCTCTTTAATTATATAACAATGCACAAGTATTAGAAAATGAGGTGCGAAACCCTCTTGTTATAATATAATATGAACCAAAATTGTTATAATATATAAACCAAATTTTAATTGTTATAATATAAACCAAAACCAACAAAGCATGCATGCATAATGTATAATTGTAATTGTACATGTTATTAATTGAAAATTCCTGAAAATAAAAGCAAATAAAAGTAATCATTTTTCTCATTCGTGTTACACTTACAGCTCTTCTCCACTTGTGTACTGTCCTCCATTAATTGCCTATTAGAATAATAAGAAATAAAATCAAGTGGTTACGAAAATTTTTAACACTGCCAACTCTTTCTTAGTTTGAAATGTTGTTGATGTAAATCTGTTCATGGAGGTGATAGGTTGTTTTCATTATTTACTAGTGTCCGCCATTGCTGAATCTGTGCAAATAAATATGCATAAAACCAGTAAGTATAAAATACGGACAAAACATTATTATGAGGTTATGCAATAACCAGGTTTAGTATAAATTTTGCATATCAAATGAGCTTTCGCGTGTTTTGATTGGCTATAGTTGATTAGTAAATCTGACGCGTTATTTACTACCTGGGTACTGGGTAGTAAATACGTTATACGTAATGCTTTTGAACGAGAATGATTAGGCAAATTTGGTTTCAAAATCAACAAAATATTGAAAAAAATCGTCCGCAGAAAACAAAAGAAGAACAAAATGTTGTATTTAACTTGAAAGGTAGGATTCTTTTATTATTTTACTGTGTCAAACATATTCACGGACAATTTCAGTAAAACTTATTTAAAACTCTGAAACATTCACTTCAAACAAATACCGAAAACATCCCGACTGTTGGAAAAAACCTAACCTGAAGTTCAGGCCCTAATCACCTTGCCGTGATATTCTTTAAAATCCATTTTATTTTGTATGCTATAGATTTCTCAATTTGTATGATACTATTTCTTTTGATATGTCGTGTTTTCATTGTTCTGTATGGTGTTCTGACCGGCTTTATTGTGTTTTCGAAACTTGCAAAGTAAAAAGTGTTGTTAAAATTTTATTTCGAATCGCATAGTTTTACATTTCATTTTACCATTTTTCTCAGCCATTTCCTGAAAAAATTAATGCTAAACAGAAACTATTTTTAATTCTAAGTCTGGTGAAAAAGTCATTCCATTATTGTGTTTATTTTCTGAGCAGAAATCGAGGAAAACAACTTTGTAATAAAGCAAAAAAGTCACAAAGCCAAAGGAAGCATGCATGTACAAGAAACACTGCAACACTAAAACGGTAACCGTAAAACCGGCCAAAAACAGTTTTATTTCTCAATTTTAATTAAACTGATATTTGGATATTTTGTTTTATTGATTAAAAATTTATACTAAAACAATTATTCGCCTCAGGCTCAGTGATTACGGTGAATATTCACCGGTAATCACTTCGCCTTCGGCGAATAGTTGTTAAATAAAACACCACTTGCATGGCAACTAAAATATTAAATACCACAGCTTCCCAGCGACACTATAGTCGACCCATGCAGGCCACCCCTTGGTCAGCTGATTACATACATAACTATCCAGAAGGGTATAATACCGTACTGTATATGGTGATCTTAGTTGTTATTCCTAAATGACTAATGTATTCTGAAGCGGAAAAGCAAACTCGTGTCGGAGTTACGACAATATAGTTTTACCTTCTTAGACCCATTTAACTTTGATTTTGGAGCTAAAAGTAATACAAAATCACAATAAGCGGTCACATGTCTATAATGTCCTGTGGTCTCTAGACAACTTATAGGCAAATAATCCTTCTAAATATTTCGATAAACGCGTGAAATAAGCATAGAAATGTAAATCATGATAACTGAATGACAATGAACTAAAAATGTTTAAACACGAACATATAGTCATAGTTCGTACTGTAACTAACAATAGAAAAGTCAGAGTAGCACTTACTGGTGTTGGTTTGACCATTAGTCTAAAATGAAAGAGAAGAGAATTTACTAAAACTCACAGCTTATCAGAGTACTCTATATTGAATGATTGTTGCTTATTCAAATAATTCATATTTGCCAATTGGCTATAAGTATAAATAGATGCAGCGTTGAAAGTGCCAAACCAACCAAATGAACATGAAATGTAATGTAAATAATGTGATATAAAAATGACAACGGCCCGGCTTGAACTTGCTTAACATGGCATAAAATCATCGGCACTCACCCTGTTAGATGGACTGACGCTTCTTCCACGATTTCCTCCTCCACTGCCTATAAGGGGAAGAAAAGAAGCGATTAAATACAATTTCGTTACAACACTCGTTTCTACTAGTTTAATGAACAAGACACTGGTTTAGTGTGTTTTATATATTTTAAATATTGTACTTTCAGAATTTATAGTTACTTTTATGAAATATTTATTTTTTAAATGCGAAAAATGCTTTTAAAGTGGTCATGATCCATAATTTTCTCCCTAGCAACACCTTAGCAACGCGTCAAATCCAAAATTGACATGAATTAATTTTGTAGTTTCTACTTTTGATGTATGTTTTTTAAGGTCCTTTTTGTTAGCTGCAATTTGATTGGTCCATTTTGCATGTAAATGGAAGTGGCAAGTGAACCCCTTTTTTCATAGCAACTTCGCGGTCATTCGCAAAGCTCTGGCTGCAAACATATCGTCGAAAATCTGTGTTATTTCTTAATATTTAGAGGCACCTAAGAAAGCACTATGTTGACAGTATTGAAGAGAAAGAAGGTGTTAGCTATGAAGCAGGCGCCATTTTTTGGCTAATTAGTGGGCGGCCATATTGGATAATTAGTGTAATTAGTGAGTAACCAAAAATATTTTCCCAGATTTTGATTTTTATCAATTGCTGATTCTGTATCTTGTAAAATGAAAAAAAAAATGCTCTAAAGGGGGGTGACCACCGCTTAAGCATTCTTATCGAACTTCACTCATACAGTATAGGGTTTTCTTCGAATCACCTTGGATTTGCCGAACGTTAATGACGAATCGTTCAGGTCAATGATTCGTCAGATCGTGAATCGACCCAATGAATCGCTGTGTGTATAAACGTGTTGTAACTTGCCACTAAACCATGCAGGCCTAACAGTAGACAGGGTCTAAACAGGCGTCCAGGAACATACATGGATTGGAATCTTAGGGGCTGTTTACGTGATCCCCGTTTGATCCGGGACGAGAGGGAAGGCGGGATGAGATTGATGTATTGAAAGAAATCACTAGGCTTAAACGAAAGTCCAAACGCCGGTTTGTATATGATACACGCAGACATAAATGAGTTACTGTATATTCACTTAATTTTGTATTGATCTATTGTCCTGGGCTTAAATACCAGGTTCTCGGATGTAATCAGTATTTTTGTGTAACATTTTAAATAAGTGTACCGATTGCATGCCGTTCTTACCGTTTGATTCCAGAGTGTTTCTTCTTGGTCTAGGTGTTCGAAGTGAAGACGTGCGTTTCACACCAGAAGCTCTCTTGAGATCACGATAAGGAGTAATTCTGTAACCTGGAAAGAAAATAGACAATCCCATGTTCATTAAAAAACGAGCAAACCAAGCCCTCCACAAAAACAGTCGCATGATACTGCTTCAAGCGTAACAAAATAAGGCTGTTTTCCACTTTTTCAAGCGTAACGTACCGACACGTATCAAAACAAATTTTAAATTTCAAAATTTAGTGGATGTTGATTGGTTACTACTTCCGGGGCCGGTTGTTCAAAGCTGGGTTAGCATACCATCTTCAAGCTGCGCATGCTCACTCATAATTTTATACTGTAATGATTCGCTTTCGTTGTTCGGTTTAAGATTGGAACGTCGTCGGTATAAGACACTTTGTTATAGTTATATGGAGTATGTAACAATGCAATTTTAATATTTTGAAATTTTATTGCCGATTTTGATGTTTTGAGTACAAAGTAAATAAAATAAACAATATAATTTTGCATTTTCTGATATATATTATAAAGTGTAGAAGTTCACGTTTGAAATTTAACATAAACAATGTCAATATCACTTCTCGGCTCCCTGTGGTGTAGATAGATGCTGTCCGGGTAAGTAGATGATAACCAGTCAAAGTATATAGAAGTTTGATGTGTCCCAGAGCAAGATACCCCAACCCTTTACCCCACCCCACCCGTTTCTGCTTAACGTTTTTTCAGAAACAAGACGCCTGCTCAGGCGTTCACACTGACCTGAAAATGACGACATACGTGCTATGGTGACCCAATACTGACAAGAATACAAAACGTGAACCGTAAACGCAAAGCGTGAAAGCGTGGCGTGATCTTGAGGAGAGGTTTTCGTAATGTCCAATGAAACACAAGTATTACTCACAAATACAAACGTTATCCATAAATGCACATCAGCACATGGTCTCTGACTCTGAGCATGCGATGCGCTAACGCAGACAACATTGTTTACATCCCGTGAGTCTATTAAAACGTATAAAATTCGAAAAACTCAGCGATCCGGAAATCGCATTTCCAGAGGCGTTGCACGAGAAAAAAAAAACACCAAGTCAACTTCCAAGAAAGTGCAGAGTAGGATAAATCCAAAATCCACAGACACACGCGGTAAAATGCGTTGACAAATGAAGAAATTGACTGAGACTGAAATAGTCACTCATTGATGGCCGCCATCTTGAAAACTGATCTGTATAGTACCTGGAACGACTGGAAACTGAGCCTGCGATGTGCTAACGCAAACTCGATTTCAGGAAAAAACAGAACATTAGGGATTTAAGACACTTGACCTTTCAGGTCAGTGTAATTATTTGTGGGACCAACTTTGAACGGCAGGCAACGGCCCCCTTGCCTATGAGGTGGTTTGAGATTATGGTTACATAATCCCATACTTTTTGGCAAACTGTAGACCGCGAGCAGTCCCCATGAGAAAGGAGGGACTGCCGACAACGCAAAATTCCCATTGGTCGAAATCGATGTGCCTGTCAATCAATCTGATATGGAGTAATTATGCTATAAATAATTTCCAGACTGAATGTTGATTTTATAAATAAACATGACAGGCTTAAATGAATGGTTCCTATTGGATAGATGTAATTGGATATTAGTAATGTTTATGTAAAGGTGGAGCCAGAGCGAAAAGTGGGCGTATTTCGTTTCTTGATGTGTTGTAGGCAATCCCTCCTTTCCCCTCGCACGCCCGGGAAGCTAAACCCGCGGAAAGGAGGGGCCGCTCGCAGTCTAGACAAACTTTAGATCAAGTGAATACCGACCATTAGGGAAATTTAATCGACTAGTTTTAGCAAGTACAAATCACACACACACAAAATAAGGAAAATAGTTCATTAAAATCTTAGCCTTAGATCTTCTTAAACTCTACTTCCTTCTGCTACAACTATGCCCTCCCAGATCTGTATTTACGTTGGGCGAAAAGTCATAATTTTATCTTGGACTGAAGAAAAAAATATTCTTTTAAAAGAACAAGCGAAGAATGTGTATTCTCAACAAAAGAAAATAATCATATATTGACCGCCACTGTGTTCATCGAACAACATGCATTTAATTCGACTTCACAAGTCGAATTAAATGCATGTTGTTCGAAAGTTGTGAGACGAATAACTTGAAAATAGCCATTGAAATATGACACATTATTCATAAGATCTCTTTACTGAGAAGATTTACTTAATCTTGATAAGCGGACTAACTTGTTCATACAGGTGTCACTATTTCTTATACAGACCGAATCCATGTAATAGCGGAAACAAATTTTCGGCTTTGAATGCAATCTATACACGTGCAGCACTTCAATTAGTGCAAATAATAAACAACTGCAGCGCTAATACCAAAAGCCTAATAAAGACATTTTACACATATATCCTATTTCTTAGTAAGTATACTAATATTTATACCTAAATCTCTTAAAGATAATTTTTAATCTACATCACCAACCCTCTATATCACCAGGTTCTTATCTTCTGAACGCAGAAGATGGGCCACTCCTGGGTTAATAAAATAATTTCATACTTCACAAAATTCTGAAGAATGTCACATGCACTCGCCACTGTTTCCATCAAGTTTAGCTCACATTTCACAACCTCACTTTCGACAAATGTTGTTTTCAAGAAATTGCCATACTTAATTTACTATTTCTATATATAAAGTAAAATATAACTCTTAGTCTGTTTCATTTTCAACTATCACCATTAGTTAGCACAAGTTTCTGTTGCTGCAATTCTTGCGTTCCGTTAACAATATCATCCTGTTTCGACGTAATCTCCTGTTTCTCTTCCGGTTTGCTTGGTTCATTACCATTCATATCTGCCTGTTGCTTCTTTCGACGTCCTCGGATGGGCTTTGGTTTCGACCAATCATTTTCCGCCGACTTCTCTTCACTTACACTCGGAGGACTTTTTGTGTTATTGTTAGAAACGAGTGGTGGTTTCTCGTCAGGTAGTACATTTTTGGTAACCTTATTCTCGCCCAATGTTACCCGCACCTTTCCAGAAACCTCAGTTGTTCCACTATGTTCATCGTGTATACCATTCAACATATTATTTTCTAAAGCAACAGCACCTTGAGCGTCGCTAATTACATATGTTACTTTTTTAACTACCTTAACCTCTTCAGATGCTGCAACAGCATTTGTTACCGCATTGCCAACATTTTCCCTAGTATCACTTGTTTCAGCCTCTACTTCTCCCTCTGGGCTTTTCGCTGCCCCAACAGCTTCATTTTCACCAGACATTATAGGCTTCACAGACGCAGTAGGTTTTCCTGATTTCATGTCCTCGTGTATCAATACGTAATATGCATGTTGTGGATCATCTGCACTCAATTCCTCCACATTCATCAATGCCAGTTGCGCTTTCCTTCGTCGCCCACCGCCTCGGATTCCTTTCGGCTTCGGAGGACTATCAGTCTCCTCTTCTTTCGTGTCGGGAGAGAACGACAGTGATTTCTTTACTGAAGCTGAATATTTTGGTGTGGACATTGTCGGGTAGGAAGATCGAACGCGAGGTTTCTTACTGCTTGACTTAGGTGCTGATCTTGGGCCTTCTTTGCAGCTAATCGGACTAATTCTGGGTGACTTTGACGCTTTAGGTTGTAAACTCTTACGTGACGACAAGCTAGTACTTGGTCTGGAATCATACTTTCTCGCTTTTTGCGCCTGGTTATAGAGTCTCGGTGGGGCAGACTTCGGGCGTGGTCTCTGTCGTGACTGTGGCGATGGAGTGTTGGCGGTGGTGAGAGCCTTAAGAGCGCAAGCTAAGCATCTCGCCCTTGGAAGGTCTTGCCATGAATAATCATGTTCAATTCGTAACGCTGGCGTGTAGGGCGTATGATGCGGTTTTATTGAAGTATTCCAGGACTGCTTTGAACCTGCGTATGCAACAGGAAAAATAATTTCAATTGGTATACTGTGTGTTCAAGCATGATCACAAAAATTGGCTTCATTGTACAAATGAGGGAAGATTTCAGGCCTCACTTATATTTGAGCATGCATAAAAACAAAGCTTAACTAACTCGCTCATGCAAATTGCCCGAAATGCCCTTGATTTTATCCCTGGAGCAATGAAATGTAAGGAAATTAGGAAATGCTTATGCTAATGTTTTATTATCAGAACGCTAATCTTAGGTTAAATGTTAAAATAATTGAAATCAATAGCATTTACTGGGAGCTGTATATTAATGGTTAGCCTTGAAATTCAAGATAACAGTTCCAGTGAGAAAAAAAGTTAGTGTATGCGCCCCTTTCACACCACCGCCACAGTCACGACCCGCGGACGAAGATACCTTACCAGCAAATTAACGGAATTAGTGAACTTAAAAAATTTATCAACAAAAAGTTCGTTTAGATTTTTTAGTTACATTGTACAAAAGTTATCTATTTTTATTACAACCATTACATATTTTATGTTAATATTTATCTTTATAATCATCTCAACATTTACTGTTATTTTATTATTAGCCTACTACTTAACAAATGTAAAACATTTTCCGTGTTGATATACAGTTATATCAACACGTCTGTCAAGTGGAAATTGGGAAAACGAGAAATTGTGTGGAAACACGCGCCCGAAGGGCGGGGTGTTTTCACACAATTTCGAGTTTTCACAATTTCCACGAGTGTTGATATAACTATATATCAATACGGAAAAAAGTTTTATATTTGTTTTATAATATAGCACAAAGAAACATAAAGTAAGAAATTTTCCGACGTTTCCGTGTTGACATTGAGTTATATCAACACGGCTCTTAGCCAATCAGCGTTCAGAATTTGCAAATGCTATATTATAATATAATTTATTTCACGTATATATTTCGAGATTACGGCCCTTTACAAACGATTCTGTTTACAGGTTGGCTTAAATTGAACTACTGTACTGTACATCTGTTTAGTATATCGCGATTTTTCTATTCGTATTTACAGGTGCGAGTTCTTAGCTCATGCTGATGACGTCTTCTTTTAAACCATATTTTGATGTCTTTAATTCTGTCATATTATTTACAGGTATGCATTTCTTTAATTAAAAACTTTAAATTTTTTGTATTTTCTGCTACACATAGCTATATTAGGTACTGTACGTTAAATGTTTAAGTTTAAGTTAATAACTTAGTAACTTACTTCCTCGTTTATGCATACGTCCATGCTTACCCCAATTCAGTTTAAAAATACAGTATTTTATCAATATTAATCATACGATTAAGAGTATTCATATTGCAAATATCGCTTGAACACACGAAAATGTTAGTAAGTACGAAAATTTATAGAACGACCAAGCTATTTGGCCAACCAGGATCTCATACGTATGTAGCATTTCCAATACCCTTTCAAATTAATGTATTTTGAATGTGCGAGATGCTCATAGTTTGGAACGATATGGAACTCGATCAGATCATCGGACGACACATATCATTTCTTTGTAAATGCAATAAAAATTTACTTACTTTGCACATCCACATCAAATCCTTCGTCGGGGAACCGCTCATTTGATGAAAAAGCGATAAAGATCATGTCCTCGTCGAAGAGATCTCGCAAATCTTTTATCTAGAACACAGAAGAGTAAATTATAACATATGCATGCCTGCAAAGAATAGTCTTGTAGTCATCCATCATTATCCACATTTTCACAAAGAGTACCCCCTCCTTCTTCCAGAGCATTGTTTTAAATGTTGAACCTCAGGAATGACTATAATGGTCTACCATCGACATTTTGAAAAGCCCCGACCACCGAGTGACTATGATTTTCGGAACATGGCAATACTCATGCCTACAGTACAGGAGTTTTGGTCAAGTTAAATCTGATTAAATATACAATCATAAGTATCGCAACTGGTTCTAAACTAGGTTCTATTACTCTAAATAGGACGAGATAAATTTTTGCCCAAGTTCCAATCCAAGTTCCAATGCCCAAGTTCCAAAAAATCACTAGACAATAATCGGGAAAACAAGATGAATCTTGGCAGAAGGCCAAAAGGAAAAATAGCATAATAGCATTTGAGTGCTCGTTTGGCATGCATGCATATAGTGTAAAAACACTTAAATAATTAATTATTGCAGAGAAGTGAGCTCCAGAAATTACTAAGGTAAGAAAACCCCCTCTTGGAATTCATATTGGTCTACCTCTTTGTCTACCCATAAAACAACAAGTAAATTTCAGTTTGGAAAATGAAAAGTTTCTAACTTTCCATTTTTATGAAAAGACTGTTTATCTACATCTGCATTCAAGTTCTAATCCTGGAAAAAATCATTAGACAATATTCGGCAAAACAAGATGAATTTTGGCAGAAGGCCAAAAGGAAAAACAGCAAAAATAAAGAGATATATATTTGAGATTTTGCTCGTTTGGCATGCATAGTGTACAAAAACACTTAAATAATTAATTATTGCAGAGAAGTGAGCTCCAGAAATTACTAAGGTAAGAAAACCCCCCTCTTAGAATTCATATTGGTCTACCTCTTTGTTTAGCTATATATTTTCATAAAACAACAAGTAAATTTCAGTTTGGAAAATGAAAAGTTTCTAACTTTCCTTTTCAATGAAAAGACTGTTTATCTATACATCTGCATTCAATACACGTATATACGCGTAATAATTAACTGCTATTCATTACATCATCACGCTTAAATCCTGTTGTTTTTTAATAATTAGTGGTTTACCCCAAACTGAAATCCTACGGTAGGCATATGTTTGAACAAACAAAGTGTTGATGAGACAAATATACGCGCTGGATAAAATATCTAACGCCACGTAATTAGGATATACAACTAGAAGGAGTTGGACACAATAATAGTATTGCACATAAATTTATGCGCGTCACACACAGTATGCCTCAAAACTTACACACGTGCAACAGAAAGTCTATTTTAGGGTAGACGTTGCTGCTCATCATGTTGGTGCAATGACTGCAGGTGTAGGAAAACAATAACACAGTGCAATAGAAAATCCTCCCTCTCAAAAAATATTCGCCGCTGTCATTGAAGAACCACATTGCGGGCATTGCACGTTGTTGATTCATGCATGTTATTGAACAACTTAATCCTTTATTGGCACGAATGCCGCGAATCAATCTAAGAGCATGCTAGATAGGTTAAGCCTAAAGATGACAAATCGTTCTCAAAAACCCTAATTCTGACATTCGAATGATTGACTTAAACGGCTCCGTACTCCACAAGGCGAATCTTTTCCCAGGAAGCAAATTAAAAACATCAACGAGTTTGGTTAGCAACAATACTCAAAATCGCGCGAAAAAGGAGAAATAAAACCGACTGAATATCAGGACTTGGGCATGTACATGTACATTCGGTCTAACAAATTTATAAAAATCACACTCGAAAATTCCATCTACGAGATCCTAGGGAAAAACAGCACATTTAGGTCAGAGGAGGCAAATTTACTGTAACCAGATGGTTGCCTATTGATTCCCCATGCAGACAGCAATAATACAGTATGTCCATGCATGTGCACTATAAAATAAAGCCAATAGACCCTGGGTAGACTGGTGCAGTAGGTTCGTCGAAAATGTCCAGCAAGTTCGTCAAACATGCCCAACTTATGCTAGATGGCACACACAATAGAAATTTAAGGAAAAAATACAATTTTTTCCAGAATTCAAAGCGTAATTGGGCTTTAATTGCAAGAAACATGAATTTGAAACGTTCTACACAGAAAAAGTTCAATAACATAGCTACGGAAGAAACCAGCACATTTAGATACTGTTTGAAAGGAAAATGAAGTCCCTATGGCCTATTATAATTTTATAATATTTTGAATTTTTGTGCAGGTAGAAGCAAAATTACATGTATATTTAAAATATTTGGTTTTCTATTCCTTAAAAATAGTGAAAATGTAAACAAATGCCCTAATGAGTAATGTCACGCAGGTGCTATCCCACTTATTCGTCATCTGGTATGTCCTATGGTATACAAACAGTGCTCATGTTGTCAGGAAGATATGATAGATTCTCTCAATCATCCTATGTGACCAAGTGGGAGTCTAATTTAAGAGGGCTGAATTCTAAAATTGACAATGCAACCACATCCACAGGTATCACACCTTGAACTTTGTGAAGCGAATTTTCTCTCCTTATTTTGTTCCAGAGAGAACAATTTATAGCACACCTTAGCCAGTTAAACTATTAAGATTCTAATCAATAGAGACAAACAGGTAATTCTTTATGGAACTTGTTTTCCCACAAGAGAGGTTTCTTACTCTACATAATTGGAGTGGATCAGAAAAATAAATTGAAGGTTTCCCTTCATTTTGATGCCGTTAGTCCCCTCTATTTCCTGCTTTATATTGTACAAAACTCATGGTCTGAGGTATGGACTATGGGTATGGCCTACATGTACCTACACTCATTCATTGGATAACATTTTGTGAACTGGAACATAAATATATTCAAAGAAAAACCATGGAACTATTTCTGGATTCCTAAAATTATGGAATGGTTTTAAATCATCAAATAGTTATTAATAAAAAAATATTTATTATATAAGTTATATACGGTAAGTTATATTGTTGACCTCTACAACTGTATCTGACCAAGAAATGCATAAGCCACTAATTATGCATAATTTCCAGACACACTTTATGAAACTTTTATGACAAACACCCTGACACATTGAAACAAGGAGGTACATAAGAAGGAACTGGATAAAAGACATATTTCATATTTAATGAGGGGTCAATAATGGAGCAGAAGCATAATCATGACAGAATATGAATATCATTAAACAATATGCAGCAGATGGGGGAACACCTTTGTTGTTTTAATTAATCAAATGTCTTTCAACTGAATGATAAACCACAAAGATAGACTAATGAGCACGTTTGGGCACAACAGCATTGTGAATACTGTATTATCCCAAAGCAAAATAATAGTTTATCATGAATCATGGCCATCCAAAACATAGGTGTAGCCAGAAAGCAGATCAAGGGCAAAATTGTTGCCCCCAGTTTGCAAAGTTCAGACAAGTACAAATCATGATTGTGCTTTAGTACAGTCTCATTATTTGGCAATGTTATTTTGTCTTCATGCTTTCAGTTGTTTTGTTCTCTAAAACTGTGAACACAGTAGTTGTGTGTGATAGATTATGATTTTATATCACCAAATTGAAAACTAATAAATTGAGCACCAAAAAGTAGAAAATGGCTAGATACTATAGGACACTACAATCAAGGGTGCATATATATGTCCCCAAAACTTGTTGTTTAATATGTAGTCAAAATAATATTGAATAGTTAAGGCAGTTAATGCAAGAGTTTCAATCTACTATTCACAGTAGAAAGAATAAAAGTATGTTTACAGTAAAGTTCTACATGCTGTGATTTGTTGAGCATGATCCATATTTTGGTGTATGACCATTACTGCTGCACGATGCCACAGTTTATGGCAAAATTTGAAATGCAATCATTTTATACATGCTGACTCTGTTACATACACCACAATATGATTCGTCCATGACAAATCGCAGTTTGTAAACATACCTTATCTTTATTTCATTTTGATGCTTTGAGTAAGGGGCTGATTACATGGAGAGTTTTCAGCCAGGGCCGAGTTTCAGCCTGGTTAAACAAGCGGAAATTGCATCACGATTACATGAGCAGTATGAGCCCGAGCTGAGTTTAGTCAGAGCTATATTTATAGTCAACCTGGGCTGAAATGTCAGCCCAGGCTGAAATAATCTGAGTGTCACAAAATAGGACAATAAGCCTGTTACGCTTGTTTGAAGCAATCAGACGCTGATTAGTCGACTATATTTGACTTGTGTTCACGAGACTGTGGTTATAATATATGTAAAGTATTTAAAGATGAAACAAGCACGCAAAATAAAGCCATTTAAACGATTGTTTTTTTAGCCCGGGCTGAAATTATTTGCTGCCGGGCCGAGTTTCAGCCGGGGCTGAAATTTCAGGTGGAGCTCTGCCCCCACATGCTGTGTGAAGTAAAGTCAAGTATAAAATGAAATGCCAACATTTACTAAAATTTGGATTGTACAGCTGCTTTTCGTTCAATCCCTCCAGACAGTTTTGTTTACTTTCATTTAATGTCATTATTCTGCTGTCCAGTGGGAGCAACAAATTTTTATTCTTCTAATTTGCTCCACAGAATTTTACTTCTCTTCTAATGAGAGAAAATTCAACACCATAGTCACTAGCTGTAGGAAATAATATATGTCTATAACCAGAATGGAATATTATTCACACTGTAGTAGAAACATGTTTTCAGTTTGAAGAATTCCTCTTCATTGGGCTAGGATCCAATCAGCGTATTTTGTTTGGATATAAAATTTATACAACATCCAAATTGCTTTTTGAGAATGCGTATTTTGTATATAAAATTTATATAACACCCAAATTGCTTTTGAGAATGCTTGAGGAGATTTCCTCATTGAGTAATTTCTTTAGGATTTAATTCATGTAGTACAGGGACGTTTTGCATGGGACAGTGGGACGCCTACATATTTGATTCAATTATTTTAGATCCTTGACAACATGCATATTGCATACCCTGTAATATTCAAAGGCAAAGGCACATGGTCATTATTTTAATAACACTTTTAACACTCAAATATATACGCCTTTCGGCCTTTCTAGCCCTAATATTTTATAATTAGAAAATTATTCAAGCGAAACCTACGTGTGTATGATGTCGTGCAATAACTTCAGCTTATATTAATATCCCTGTATACATATTGTCCCTTTCCAGCTTTGTTTCGCAACTTTTTTCATATTGTAAAGAAAAATGATAAACAAAGACAGAAAACAATCGAACTTTGCACCAGAAAGCAACAAAATTGTTCCATGATTAGAGAAAGAAAACACAAAACACGAAAAGTCAATATATCATATCTGTATATCATATCCAAAAGTCAAAACAATGTCTTGAAAGAATATCCGGTAGCCGCTTATAAATAGATGAGAATTATTTAAAGAAACGTCTCCGCGTTCTAATATAGAGTTCTGTATTCTAATTGATGATTTCTATAGCTTTTATATACACACTTTATTGTAAAAACCCACATGTAGATACCTTATGCGGGCAAAAATCGTTAGTTTATCGTTTAAAACCAACAGGTTTTCGAGTTTCGGGCCATGGGAAAAACACTTAAATTAACTCCAGAAAACAATTCTGATAAACAAACAAAAATCCTACAGCCACATGGCAAGCGCGTAGACGTGTTTTGAAATGGTCCACTTATTTTAATACGTTCTAACTTTTATTGCACGGAAATCGTTTTAATGAGCGAAATTGAAATGATTTTGTCTCTGTAGGCACAAAGCCAGACGGTAGATACATAAAAGCGTCGGTTTCATTAAAGTCAACTTATGAGTCTTATGGTAGTCATACAATGGATGATTAATTATTCAGTAGATCGTGAGACCACAAAGCCATGAGCCACCCTTTAGATACCGGTCTGTTTTCTTCATTCATTCTAATAAAATAAAAATCTTTAAAGCTGAGCCTTACCTCACGCCCGTCCAAACAACACAGACGGTCTACTTTGCCCAGCGTTCCTTTTGATGACAAATGATTAAGCACTTGGTCTAAATCAAGCGCGGTTTTCTTATTCAATAGCATTGTGACTTTCTTTTGAGGCGGTTTACCGTTCTTAACAACCGTCACAAGTTTTGGCTTTATGAACTCTCGCTTGCTATCCATTCGAGGTGTAGATTTATCCCAATTTGTCAGCTCACGACGGTCTTTCGTTCCTCCTGTGCTCCAGCCTTTACTCTGGGTTTGCCCATAGCCCCCTTCGATTTCTTTAAAGCTGTTCGATGATGAACAGACGTAGGATGAATTCGTATTCAATTGCGATACATCAGTTATCTGGCGTCCGGTTTCGGCGTCGAATACGAAACGAACTGCTCCCGTTTTCAGATCGAGCTTGTTCGAAAGTTCGACAAGCAAGGCAAATAACTCTTTGTAGCGTTCGCTCGAAACGGCAAGCTTTAATCCAGCGAAGTATTTGTCGCCATTTCGGTAGAAGCGTATTTGCTTTGCGCTCAAACTTTGGTTTCTTTTCAGAAGAGATGTTCGCGCTGGCGACTGACCTATTGAACTTCTAGAACTCGATCTCGACAAAGGAGACGGTGTTCGCGATCTATCACGTCTATCGGCTTCGCCATTCATGTTGTATCAACGGATGAATTACTCGCGGAAATTTAGTCTACAGAAGAAAACATTAAAACAAATCAATATTTCAGAACGTTTAAAACATATTACCCGTCATTTAAAGAGGGATCAAAGAGCAAATTTCTCAGAGATAAAACCATGTGAATGTGAAATTTCCGTCTAGCATCAATCAACACAGATGATAACGTAAAAACTATACACGTACCGCGAAGCAGGAGAGTTCAACTGCCCTGCCTTGTGTCGTATTTTGAGTCGTTCACGTCACTTGAAAGGGACTGTAATGTCGCCTGATTGTCAACATAGCAAAGTAATATTTTATTCTGACCAAAGAACACCTGCCAGTCGACGAAATTCACCGAGGAATACAAAGAAAATCAACGTGATAGGAAGATGTTTGTTACCGGCGCTAAAATACATCCGTCAACAGGTGATCGCGATACATCGATTTCCGATTGGGATCAAGTTACAAAATTACAAACTAAAAACACTTATTGACACATGGGGCAAAGGAGTACATTTTGGCTAAAAAAACCCAAGAAAAACAACGTTTTGCCTTGTTAGTTATATTGTTATAATATTTCATAAAAAAATTAATATTGTATTTTTATAGTGAAACCACATATTGTGCATTCGTACTTCATGTAACATGAACCAAATGAATCAGTACACTTCGCTGCTGTAGATTCAGTAGATAATCCCGGGCTTACTTCTTCCTGAGAATTTCACACTTCGCAGGTAACAAAAAAAGTGTGAAACATGGCGATCTCAACAAAGTCTCACAAACTTTGAGTGTTACCAACATCCGAAAACGTGCTTACCACATATACTGCAATCATAAAAATTAATTCGTAGACTTTTCAAAAATTTCCCAATCCCCCCCCCCCTTCCCGTTTACAATGTTGGTTTGAGGTCCAATAACCATGGCTTAAACCAACATTGTGGTAGGGGAGGGGGGGAGTTACTATTTCTAGCGATCATGGACGTTTGTATTAACTAAAAATAAAATGGCTTTACAAAATAGTAAGA